TAACTGTGTACTTATAAATATAAATTTTTATATACTTATATTTTTTCAACGTTCTTTCTTTTCTGTCTGTTTACCTGTCTCTTTGTACAAAAAGTAAAATGTAATTTTTATATATATCCAAATATTTGTATGCGCTATTGCATTACTGGAAATTATTATACATAATACAATTATTATTATCATTCAAATTAAATCTGCATATAAAAAATTTTAGACGGTTTCTTTAGCGATAAATGTTGTGTAGTTCGTAATGAGCGAGAATTTGAAAATTTTATCTATGAAATATGCGTAAATCAATTCTGATTTTATTTTGTCATTATATATATGACGAATGTACATATGTTAGATTTTAATTGCACATCACTTACAGTTCTGCAAGACTTTGATGCAACTGCTTAAACATTTAAAATATTGCAGTTAGAACATTTTCTTGCAATATTAAAAAACATTGACTTCACACATTGGCATTTAGAAAAATTAATTTAATCTACTATTAAAATTGTTAAGATTGTTTTCTTTTTAATAGCAATCTTATTCACATGCTTCTAATAATAATGGGATGGCTATAATGTAGCAATGTCTCTCTTATAAAAACTTCTCTTGCAGTCTACTGTAATATAATATTTTTTTAATAAAATTAATTGTACCTTTATTAATCCTTTTTTTAAATAAAAATCTATTAATAGACACTGTTAACATTTATTTATAAATCTAAAAATATTTTTAAATAATAATAATACTTTTAAAATATGCGCTGTAGATAAAAAACAAAGAAACGTTGGCAGTTATAAATGAGATCTTTTTTTGTATGTATTGTAATTTTGCATGTATCTATTAACATCCTATTAATCGACATCAATAATTACTAATTACAAACTTTTTACGAGCGTTAATTTACAAGCGTTAATTGCGACATGATGTGAATGATATTAAATTATGATATTAAATTGAAATGTATTGTAGATATTTGCAAAATTTGTATATCTTTGTTTGTATAAACATTAACATATTATATATCTGAAATATTTTTGTTCATCTTAATTTCTCGAATATTTGATCATAGTAAATTTATATTATATACAGATCATATTTGAAAATATTTAATAATAAATACTTAAGGATAAGAAAAAAGACAGTGAAATAGAGGAAATTATATCCATGTTTTTGTAGTTGGATTCTTGAAGGACAATTATTGAGAAACTATGCCGGCGTTTTTTCCGTGCTATTGCGATTATCTATTTCGCGCAGCTTCCTGCTTCTGTTTATAAGAAATTATTTGTTGAATAAATGGTAAAGAGAGAAAGAGAGAGAGAGAGAAAGAGATATCCTCAAAGAGAGAGATACTCTCAAACGTGAATAAATGATCTCTTATTGACTTGAGACCGTTCAAGAAGAAATCTCATTCTTCTCGTTTCAAAGATCTTTTTTTTTGTTACAATTCAGTAATGTGCGTAGAAAGCATATTGTTTTTATAGGAAATTATTAGTGCCAACACATGATTGTATTTATGAGCATTTGTTACTGTCTCGAAGCAAGGCCAAGAATGTGATTTATTCGTAATTAATCGACAAGATCAAGTGTGAAAATCGTTTAAGACGTCGATCTGTAAATCGATCATGTCGGCTAATTAACATTACGAATATTTATCATACGAGACATGTAACGATTAACTCGACTAGAAAGTAATTCAACGAAATCTATTATGATATTATGCGATGTAACACCAATATATTAGTCTGGATTAATGTAATGGAATGTAGAATAATGGAATGTAGAAGTCTGGATTAATTACAATGAGCAGATTCGCTTTATATGACAACCTTTATGACGTGACACATATTTTCTGAGTGAGCATTTGAATCACAGATGTCATCGAGACAATTTTTGTAATTAAAGATAGCTAGAGAAGTGGAAAATGAAACGTTTTCATCTATATACAATGTTACAATTATGTTTCTTATTTGCTTCTTTACTTTGACTCTTCTTTTCCAATTTCTTTCGAAGCAGTCATTACGTTGTGATATCGTTTAAAAACGATAAGGATTGCCGTATATTACGAATGAGAAACAATTTATCAGCCGGTTAAAATACCTGTGATCGCCATGCACCGTTTATAATACGAATGCTTTGACCAATGAATTATGCATACGCTTGAACGTGCGAATGCTCGTTGTTGCAGCGCGCGATTTGCATGCGCGGGTTCGCGAGTGATTAACGATCGGCGCGTTACGTAATAAATCGATCTCCAGCGATAAGAGATAGCCGTTCATACGTGTATGCAAACCCGATTTATCTCACACATGCGTACTGTGTACCTCCGTTAGTTGCGCGCGGTACTTCCTTTTTCCTTCTACTCGAATGACGCACGTGACGTCCACGTCCGTTGATTGTGGGTGTGGATCGACGTAGCCTGCGGCCGTGCAGGCGGGCCCCTCATAGACCTTGGTTTCTCTCTTGTCTTGAGCAGGTATTCGATCTGCGATAAATGCAACGCTTGTCAATACGTCGAAGAATCTGGAAACTCGCTGCAGATTCTTCAACGATAGTATAGATCCTTCTCGTAATGAATAAATAAATTTTTTAAAGGAAATGATAACTACTCAATCTTTTAGAGATTTCTTTCGAGATCTTTTTTTAGATTAATATTAATAAGAGTTCTATATTAATTTCGAAAATAGAAATTTTTTGATTTTAAGAAAAATAGATTACGATAAAGTTGATAAGAATTGATAAGAATAAATTTAAAGTTAACATAACGTTATTATAGAACTTTATTTCTGTTATTATAGAAAAGTTATCTGCTTCAATATGATGCATAGGGACGCAAATTGTCATTTATGTAACTCTATTGACTTTATTTATAAATTATAATTACATTGTTCTATATCGAGATCATGTTAGTTCTATATTTATATTGTTAGCTACAAACTTGATGATGGCATCAGGTCTATTGATGGCATAGTCTATTGTTCTCTTTTTTATATAATTAGAGAAAAAAAGAGTTTTTTAATTATAATTACATAACAATTTATAATTAATCTTTGCTTGTACATATCATGCATCCGCGATAAAAATATCATAATAAATTTATTTTATCTATGATTTTTCCTTAATTTCTCTTACATTTCAGCTTTTCTCTCTAACTGGGATATAGGAAAAAACATGTTTGGATTTGTTGTAGCATATCATTAGGCTTAAAATAAATTGAAAATTCCAAACTCTAATTTTAACTCGGTTATCGCTCATTAAAGAAGGGAATCCCGTTCCTTCTTTTCTTTCTTGTAAGATCGGGCAATTACCTCAGGCTAATAACGTAGCGCAAACAACATATCAAACATAATTGTACTTGGCAATTGCACTTGGCAATGATATCTACGTTTAATGCCATATGAATATTTCTATTCCCGGAAAATATAAAATGCTCTCATCTCGCAATATATCATATCCAGCGTCTGATTTTTTTCTGCGATTTCTAGCCTTCGAGTATATTTAAAAAAGTTTATTTTAAAATATATGCATTTTAAAATATCATTGACAGTCACTAACTGATCTTTCAATGACATTTTACAATTTGCGGTGTTATATTTATAATTGAAATCAGTTTATCAGTGATAATATACTGATCTTATTTAAGAGAATATTACTAGAATCTTTGTTATAGAACCACCTGCTCTTGATTACTATTACTACTACTATAACAATGAGAGATTTGTAGTCATGTCATTATCAGCATCGTCATGTTAGAAGAATCTTTAATCTCGATAGATTCTGTATATTCGCTTAGTATAATACCTTGAAACTTAACTTGTGGCATATAAAGGAGAACCGAGCTGTCGATCAAAGGTACGCCGGTATTTCTTTGCAACAATGTGCACATTGATTAATGATTTACGCATGGAACTTATGTTTCATCCTAATGATAATAATAATGTAGACTATCAAAGGTTACAAGATGTTTGAAATTATTAATAATGAGAGAACGAAAGAGAAAGGTAAATTATAAAGTTAAACGTAATTAAATCATTTCAAACAATCGTATATACAAACAAGTACATATTTATTATGAAAAAATATGATAGATTTCTTAACTGCGAATCAAAATATAAAACGCATGTCTGCTTAATTGATTATTATATGAAATGAAATAAATCAGTTAATTCTTAAGTTATATATACCAGAATTTTTAATAAGGTTTACAAAAAAAAAGATATACAT